TCGACGCAATTGGGATACGATGACATACATCAACCAAGTCAACGAGTCCGACCACCCAAATCCCGTTAGTCGCCTCTTACGACAAGCATAGTCGCCTCTTACGGCAAGCATGGGTTGTTTAAGACCTATTCTAACCCGGATCTTCACGGGACCAACCACCAAGAAACCATTCTTGAGTTGCCAACTCCTTATATCGTCTTTCCCGGCCCCAACGCGAAGATTGAAGTACCTACAAATGCATGTGATTCCGACGCTTTGGTATGCAAATACGATTTAAACTTATCTGCATCTGTAGCGCTAAAGGAGCGGAGCACACACACAATACTAAAATGTCAACACTAAATTTCTCAAAAAGCTGTCTTTAAAAATAGCACCAACTTCCCCTGTTTCCCGTTCTGCCCATAGGTTGGCATGACTGTATGGCGGTTGCTGCCATGCTAATTTATAACCATCAACTGAAACACCGTCACCATACTTTAAACATGTTTCGCATACACCAACAATATCACAAATGAGTTCCTTTAATACAGACTCCTCGAAGAGTATGTTATTAGAATTTCAAGAGTTCACTAATCTGTTGCCATGAAAATGAAGCATTTTTCCTTGTCTGAACTCGTTTACACTGTCCGCATGTTTGATCTGGAGATACGTTCCTCTTGTGACAAGGCAGCGTCAATATACGCTTCATAATTTTTCAAATTCTTGTTTTGCAAATGTTGGTTCTGTTGGTTGTGTGATTCCTGCCTGACGACAGCGCCCAGTTTGTCATCGTTCCGCTTCTTCCGCTCTGTGCAGGTTGCATGCACTGTTGTCAATTTCAAACACTCCTTGTAAGGTTTGTTTACAAGTTGACATGTAACAATCGGATTGCTGACTTCACGTCTATTTACTGACAAGTTCAGAATAATTACTGAGATGCTTGTTGTTCATTGTCAATAATTTTAAATCTTATCAACTAATATTGCTACCTGTGCGTCGTATCACGTTTCAGGGCCTCAGCTTCCTTTCGTGGGGCAGCCGCGGGCTTGCGGTCTTCATTTTGTATCAGTCTATCTTGAAAACAGAATATTTTCATTTGGTTAACTGCAGCGAGAATATTCGCATTACTTGCCTCATAGATCCCGCAAATATTTTGACTGCCCCAGGTACATTTGTTGAAGAATGTTCCATCGCTTCAGTGCCATTAAATCTATTTTTTTTCGCTGAGGAAGGTTCACAGTCTCCGTCTTTAAGTTCGGTTACATTCATTGTGACATAACTACTTCGACAAAACTACCCGCTTCACCGATTAACTGGGCCATTGTAGCTACTACTGTCAGTGTTCAATGCCAATGTCGCACACAGCAATATAATGTATGATTTGCTAGGATTGGTTGTGTAGGTGTTGCAAAACAATACCTTTGAAAACGAATGGCTATTGTTTGGCTGGATTGTTCTCGATTATTCTTTCCCTGGAGTTGACAAGATGTCGGGACGCGTCTTCGTCCAAGGGCGGGTAACTCTCAATTACACCCCCAGGGTGTTCTGTGTCCATTTTTCGGCAGGTTGTTTTTTGTTTTAGCTGCCTTTTTTGTGCACGTCCCGAGGTTTGTCGATTCAATTGAGGTTTGTTTGTTTGTTTGTATGTTGTTTAATACCGCACATATTCCAGCTATGTGGCGGCGGTCTGTAAATAATCGAGTGTGGACAAGACAATCCAGTGATTGATATCATGAGCACCAATCAGTTGGGATATGATGACATGCATCAACCAAGTCAGCGAGCCTGACCACCCTATCCCGTTAGTCGTCTCCAGACAAGCATACTCGCCTTTTATGGCAAGACCTATTCTTCCCCGGATCTTCGCGGATCTCGATTTAGGTGAAAGGGGAGTAATCATTGATTCGTGCTATTGCTTTGTTGTATACTCACCGCCACAAGAAACGAGAACACCATACATGTTGGTAATAGATGAAGACTTACTCATATTCATGAGATATTAGATTGGTTCGATCCACAAACGAAAATACTGTTACATGGTGTGTGAACCGATGCTCAGAAACGCATCACGTGATGTCATAGATCCATGACTCGATATGCACCATTTGACTTGTGCAGGATTAGCATGTAATGTTTGGAAATCATGTGCAGCATAGGGTGATAAGAATAAAAGCACTCTGTGGTAACATTTGACTAATATTTAGTTTTGTCATTAATCGGTACACATTGGAAACATCTCTTGTTAAGGTACATACTTCTCTACGTGTTTCTAGACCCGTGAAGATCCGGGGTAGAATAGGTCTTCAGCAACCTATGCTTGCCGTAAAAGGTGACTATGCTTGTCGTAAAAGGCGACTAACGGGATCGGGTGGTCAGGCTCACTGACTTGGTTGATGCATGTCATCGATCCCATTTGCGTGCGGCGTTAAACAACAAACCAACCTACCAACGTGTTTCTATGGTTTGCGTTTCTTTTGGCGGTGAGTATATAATGTGTAAGAGGATTTGATTCAATCCCTAAGTCCGTCGTGTTTCACATCACCGGTTCTGTATGGAAATACCAAACCCTGAAATGAAATAAATACTTGTGTTGATATTGTTGGCAACCTGTCGACTTAATTTCCCCACCTAATCATGTCTATTGCTTGTCATTTGCGTGCTATTATCATGCATTACCTAACAGTATGGGAGACACAATCATGCTGACATGATTTCTGAGGGTATTCTCCGCGAGAACGTTGCATTTTGGTTTAATAAACCGGGTATCGGTGACTGTTACTACTACTACTACTACTACTACTACTACTACTACTACTACTAACCCGTAGTACTACTACTACTACTACTGACCCGTACTACTACTACTACTACTACTACTACTACTACTACTACTACTGACCCGTGAAGATTCCGGGGTAGAATAGGTCTTCAGCAACCCATGCTTGCCGTAAAAGGTGACTATGCTTGTCGTAAAAGGCGACTAACGGGATCGGGTGGTAAGGCTCGCTGACTTGGTTGATGCATGTCATCGATCCCAAATGCGTGGATTGATGCTGATGATATCAATTACTGGATTGTCTGGTCCAGACTCGATTATTTACAGACCGCTGTCATATAGCTGGAATATTGCTGAGTGCGGCGTTAAACAACAAACCAACCAACCAACTACTACTACTACTACTACTACTACTACTACTACTACTACTACTACTACGTATATGTTCCGTGAAGATCCGGGGTAGAATAGGTCTTCAGCAACCTAATACTACAACTACTACTACTACTACTACTACTACTACTACTACTACTACTACTACGTGTATATTCCGTGAAGATCCGGGATAGAATAGGTCTTCAGCAACCCATGCTTGCCTTAAAAGAGGTAACTAACGGGATCGGGTTGATGCATGTCATCGTATCCCAATTGCACATATCTATGCGCATATCAATCACTGGATTGTCTGATCAGACTCGATTATTAACAGACCGCCGTCATATAACTGGAATATTGCTGAGTACGGCGTTAAACAACCAAACAAACGAAAATGTACCATAAGCTTGCAATAAAAAGTTCAGTTGCATATCGAACAGAATCCTCAGATATCAATTAGAACTTAATGCCTCGAGGTAGGATATATCTTAGATATCAATTATGAACAATGATGCCTCTGGACTTGTAATTTGTCTCTGACGCTTCTACTTCAGTTAGTGGCTATGCGATACTGACGTTGATATCATAGCTAGGGGCAGATATAAGTATATTAATGGCATCAGTAAAAATGGTGTCCTGGAAAATATCAAGAACTGTTTGAGTAAAACTAATTTAGTCGTACTAGCCGACATTATACAACAACGAACTTTTAACATATTTACCATCCATATGATATCATCTTTGTATGCTTGCCGTAAAAGGCGACTATGCTTGTCGTAAGAGGCGACTAACGGGATCGGGTGGTCAGCCTCGCTGACTTGGCTGATGCATGTCATCGATCCCAATTGCGTGGATCCATATGGGCTCATGATATCAATCACTGGATTGTCTGGTCCAGACTCGATTATTTACATACCGCTGTCATATAGCTGGAATATTGCTGAGTGCGGCGTCAAACAACAAACAAACAAACTTCTGTAGCTGCACTCATCAACATGTTCAAGCGAAGACTTTTAGGACCGCAAATAATGGCTCAGCTATATTGCCTTTTAACATCTCATGTATGTTCTATTAGAATAGTTTAATGCATGCAATGTATGCTGCTCGGGGGAGCAAACTAACCAACATAATCTTTGACACAATAAACACAACACTGTTGTCGTCAGGTACATGTGTATTGACGTCACAATGGATCTAGATAATGACGTGACTGTCATTGTTAACGGCACTGTTCCCTTTTCGACACAGTTTCAATGTACAGTACTACACCTTCACCTTCACCTTAACCTGATTAAAGTGTATATAAGTGTGAACCATACTAATTTCGTTTCCCCTTATACCGAAGCGTTAAATCAATATATATTTGAATCTCAAAATAGTAGCCGGTGGGGTGGGGTGGCGTAGCGTAGCGGTTAAAATGAAAAATCAGGTTCGATTCTCCCATGGGTATAACTTTAAGTGCCCATTCTCGGAGCCTCGCCTTCATCTGACTTGAATATTGCTGAAAGTCGCCATACTCAGTTGACAATGGGTGTGATGTCTTGTGAGACATACTTTTCATTATTAATTATTCATCTGACCCGTGAAGATCTGGGTGGAGAACAGATCTTCACCAACCCATGCTTGCTGTAAACGGCGACTATGCTTGTCGTAAGAGGCGATTAACGAGATCGGGTGCTCAGGCTCACTGACTTGGTTGATGCATGTAATTATATCCCGATTGCGTGGATCGATGCTCATGATGTCATTCACTGGATTGAGTAATCCAGACTCGATTACTTACAGACCGCAATCATATAGCTTGAACATTGCTGAGTGTGGCGTTAAACAAAAAAAAACCAAACAAATAATTATTCATCTCTTCTTTCAGGGGATGCCTACAAAGCACGTGCATGGTGTGCAACACGTGTTTCTCCTCATAACGACATGTTTGCTAATGCTGACCGTCCCAACTTCAGGTTTTTGTGATGAGAGATGCGAGAAGGCTAATCCAAACCTTCATAGAATTAAAGGAATTTGGTCCAACTCATTCAGGGGACAAAGTAAGTAAACCAAACAGTAATCTATAAATGCATGTAACAACATCAGAATTGTCACATAGTTCTTATTGACCTTAGATTCGTACATATGTAAGCCATCCAGTATATTATATCGCCATCCTGTTATAATGATTTGGTTGGACCCATGCGCCCAAAACTCTCGTTTCTGAAGTGATGTCATCATCTCTAATTCTAGTATGACTAAACTAGCAGACAAAAATCGATTGGACGGCTAGAATAGGTCTTCAGCAACCCATGCTTGTCGTAAAAGGCGATTAGGCTTATCGTAAGAGGCGACTAACTGGATCAGGCTCGCTGATTTGGTTGATGCATGTCATCGTATCCCAATTTCGTGGATCGATGCTCATGATATCAATCACTTGACTGTCTGGTCCAGACTCGATTATTTACAGACCGCCGTCATATAGCTGGAATATTGCTGAGTGCATCCAATTTGAATCGGGCTCAGAAGAAAGCGAATGGTCCAGGTTATTGATCAGAATAGAATGGCGATATAATACCCCAGATAGCTGAGGATCTTATCTGCATTCGGTTTTCACATACTTGTATACTAGCTATACAATTAAAAGTCAACGATTTTTATATTTCCAAACTATTCATTATTATTGTTTATTCTATTTTATTGAACTAATGGATTGAATTTATGTTTGTTACAGCATTAAACTTTAACGAATTTATCCAGTACTTGATATCTGCATCTGGGAACAATCGGCGGTTATCCCCTCTTAGAGACAATCTGGTTCGAATGATTCGAGAGTACCGGGACTGTGTGATGGCGTGTGAACACGCCTTCAGCAAACGAAGTAACACACACAGCAACTTAAAAAGCCGAAAATCGCAACTCTGTGAGTTTACAAGCATTTCAGTTCTGCTTCTTTGCCTCCTGTCAAACTTAATGTCCCCAAAAACTGAAACAACTTGACATTTTGATTCATTCTTCGAGATTATGCACAACAACCCACAAAAACATTATTATTTTGATCACGTTCTGATTCAACGCCACTGCCTCCATCTCAATTGACGATGGTGCTCTCAATCCGTGCATAACATTTTCTGACATCTTACAAATAATGTGGGGGCACAAGTAGTCTAATGGTCTAAGTCAATTTGATTCGAGATCTGGCTCGAATCTGATGATCGACCTGATTACAGTCCCCGTACTCATGGGATTGGCCAACAAGATGAAGGCCTGTGGCCTCCATCACTTCAGCTTTCTACATAACATCTTTCTTTCTTTCTTTGTTGTTAACCGCACTCAGCAATGTTCCAGCTGTGTGACGACGGTCCGTAAAATATCGAGTCTGGACCAGACAATCCAGTGGTTTACATTATGAGCATTGATCCACGAAATTTGGATCGATGACATGCATCAACCAAGTCAGCGGGCCTGACCACCCGATCCCGTTAGTCGCCTCTTACGACAACCAAGGTCGCCTCTTGCGGCAGGCATGGGTTGCTGAAGACCTATTCTACCCCGGATCTTCACGGGTCTTCTACATATCAGCTGTCAAGCCATGATAAACTGAAAAAAATGGCCTAAGCTCAGTCGGCATTCAAAATAAATTCATAATTCATGTCGTATACAACCCGGGGGCTGTGGGACTCCAGTTCCAATGCTTCCCATGAGAGGCATCTCATGGTAACAATGGATGATCAGACAGGTAGCGTTTCGTCGTAACCAAATGACACAAAGACATGGTCATGCCATTTGCCATTGTTTGCATTTGCCTGGCCGCTATACAGACAAAGCTTTGATATATCTGTCGGTTCCGCCATCAGACATTGCCTTTTACTTGCGTAAAAGCAGACCAATAGTTGACTCCGAGTGAGTGAGTGAGGTGGGTTTTAACGCCGCTTTTAACAGTATTCCAGTTATATCGCGTCGTGTCAGCTTAATGTGGGAGGAAAGCCCGAAGTGATGCAGGTCTCAGACGTTTACCACTTCGATGAAACCCACGAGCACGGGTATGGTGCTGAACAAACTAGAAATATAATCGGGGCGAACCGGGATTCGAACCCACAATCATAGGTTTCTGGCGTGCCCAAAGTACGCAACTCTGCACAGCGAATCGCGGCGCCTTAGACGACTGGGCCACCCGTGCCCCCAATTAATTTTAAAAAGAAATTGATGGTAACTTGGTACATGGAACCTGACTTATATGTTGTATTTACGTCTGTTCATATTTTAAAAAACGCAAAGTTGAACGAATTATCTTTGTAAGTTAATTGGTCAAGCTTTTAATCTAATATACCGCTAGAGTTTTCTTCATTACGTCATTGTTGGAAAGAGACATCATGTTGCAACGAAATTGTGAAATAATTTTAACAAAGTCTTTTTCAAATAGAATCACATTTAAATCTCAAGCTAATGTTCATGTTTGTTATCAATAGGTATCAGCAATAACGCATCGATAGCTATCATTTGATCACTTAAGTGATATCTCCTGCGGCTGCAAGTGTTAAATACAAAATAATTGATATAATGATATTGATATGTAAATTAATACATTGTACGTTAGGTAAATGTCATGATCTTGTATTTGATGCATTGTACTATATGTATTAATGCCAGTATTTTGTTATTTGTACTTTATAGTATGGAAATAGATGACACTTGCGGTATATTTATTAGTACATTGAGACCGTCTCTGCGGTCTGGTGGTAGGGCGTCCGTCCGGAAGGTCGGGGTTCTACTCTGTCAGGCGCTCGGCATTAAGGGGTTAAAACAAGGGCTGGTCGGCTCGATGTCAGTATACTGTGTCTGAGGGGGGTATTCATGTTAAACTGCGGCATGGTATTTCATTGGGGCTAGCATTATAAAATCGAGATAAGTCCGGACTAGTACAAACACACACACACGCACGCACGCACGCACGCACGCACGCACGCACGCACGCACGCACGCACGCACATGCACGTCGCTTTATGCCTATTTCACCTCACCTATTGGTTTATTATACTTTTGGTCATGGGTTTGTTTTATATTTTGATGTATTGTACTATTTATTATACAAGTATCTTGCGTATAACTGTCTTTAAAGTTTATGACAGTTTTGTTTAAAACGAAAGCAAATATCCACATGGTTAACTAGCTATGCGAAATCTGAGGATAGGGCATTTAGGCAAAAAGTAGGCATTCTCATTGTTACCAATTGTGCTCCCACCAATGCTGATCTGTTTCTTTAAGCTTATGAATCGAGATTGCTGCTCATATTGGCAAGATCAAAAAGGCTTTTTGGCCATGAAGTGTGCCTTACGAGGGTTGAATGATTTTTTGATGTTTTAAGCGCCACATAGAAGGAATCGTATAATAGTGACATCTTTTGTTGTGGCCATTACTGCAACTATTTGATCGCTGCACGTTCCTCCAGATTGTCCATTTTTAAAAGTCACATGCCCCTGCTTATTTTTATAGATTTTACAATGAATCCGCTACTTCATTTTACAGTCACATCGAAACAATTCGCTTCGCAATTATTTGTGGATATAACTCTTTGATATCTTGTAATGGCCACAACAAACGAGTTCACTATTTTTCCTTTAATGTGTAGCTTCGAATTTATCTACCGACCCACGTATATCGATGCACTTTTCCTAAAGTGTTACATCTTTGTAGTCTATATTGGCACATAGTAACATATTCATTGTGACATTTCTTGTATATTTATATGATTTCTTTTTCATTTCAGGCAACGTTCTTTTCCGTGCACAAAAACAGGCTCAAACTGTCATCCCTAAACAGATCTACAAGCACTGTTTCTCCAAAGTGCCCTAGATCAACCGTCACCAGGAATTAAACATGGCTCAGAAACCAACCAACAGAGCAAGCCCCACAATGCCGAGGACCATGGCCAACATTTATATGCAATGCAAATACCTATCAAGCTGATACCTCGAGAAAAATAACAAGATCATACGTGTCCAAGCGGGTGTTGTTCGGAACATCATTCCACAAAGCGGCCTTAGTGTTGTGACCGTCTTAAGTCTTTGCTACAGCATGGGACTCGCTGCACTAAGTCCAGTTTGTGGAAAGAAGACCGGGGCATGCGTCTTTTGTAAATGTTTTGGATTCTCCCTCTTTGAGACTTCGATGACAAATCAATTCAAAAAGAACTATCACGCGACTTTGAATGGTTCTCTGTCGCTATGCCATGGCTTATGGATCTAAAGGAATCAAGATAAACTTAATTGCTTAAATCGACTTTGAATTGTTAAAGGTTCAGGAATGACTTGTAATGAAATAAAATCTACCATTGTTACGTTTAACACTCTGATTTTTAGGCATGTAATCATCTCCTGGAAGTCAATGATTTCCCACACGTATAAATTACCTCTTCTTTAAAATTGCAAAAGATGTTGCATAATTCTTTGAAACTGAAAATCATTCTCTTAATGATATTAGGCTTTTCAGACAGATAGGAAAATATTTTATAGTTTGCACTATACTCAAGAAATGTTGTTGCCAAACCAGGGACTCAATGAGAACCTGTTTCACATCGCGTTCATAAGCATAAACATCAAAATCTAAGACCCCAACGTTCCTTGATTTATGTAAATGAACAGGAACTACTCTCTCGTTGTTTTCCGATTTGGCAATATCATGCATTTTCTCATGTCATTTTTACAGTTAAGGTATAAACATTGGTTGCATGTTGTTTACATAGTACTGCTGTCAGCTATTTAGATAAAGAGGCATCAATATATTAGATTCAAGTATGGCTTTATGGTTAGAACCAGCCGTTAAAAGCCATCTGGTATTTACACAACAACCATTCAGTCCTCTCTCGATGGTATTCAATGAGATCATTATTAACGTGATATTAATACCTCAATCAAAATTGAATGCTTTGACCTTATGAATAAAAAAATGATTATTACAGGAAATTACCTTTGGACCTTCGGAATACTAAAAGTATGCCATATTGGGCCAGTATCAGGCCGTTTGTTATCAATATATCTTTAAATTATTGTTTTATTCCCGGTATTCTTGTATTGTGAGAGCAATCCATACTGATGATCATGATTAATAAATACTGCCTGCTGTGGACAAAATGATACATCTTAACATGAAAGGAAAAGAAAACTATTCATGCAGATGCAGCACAAATATATCTTTCCTGTTATCGTTTCACATGAATCTAATAATTGAGCTTTAAATGGAGTAGATATATGGACCTTTGCCTCAATTTCTTATGTGATTATGGCTATTATTTAAAATACACTTTTTTCACTTTTGGAGAATGATAAGGACATGTTATGAAGGGGATTTATCATCAGGTGTCTTTGCGATAAACTACACTATAAAAACCAAAGGCGCGAAAACTGATTAAGGATCCGCTCTTCTATAAAGATGAAACATCCCTCTTCTCCTTGTCCTTCAAACTGTCATGGTTACGCATATCTTTGTGTTCGTTGGAAACAAATATCTTTAAAAAGATATGTGTGTGTAAGTGTAAGGACAGCATTCAGATTTGTATGACATATAAGGACAAACTGTACGAGAAGCACTGATACAAATGTACTGAATTTTAAAATATTTAAATAGATTAAATAACTTTGTCTGGTCTAAGGAAAATATATATGTTATTACATGATAAACACCTTTTTCAAACTGATCGTATATTTTTATCAAACATGTTATATATGTGCAGAAACATATGACAAGCACATTTAAGAAATATCAAGTTTTAACTGTAGACAAAAATGCAAAATGATGAATTTGTACGATAATAAATATTGTACAAACTTATGAGTGTTCTGTTATTTCTGTTCACGTCTACACATGCAGTTTCTCCGTGGTCTAGTAGATAATGTGTCTGCTCTGAAAGCGGAAGGTCGTTGATTCGATCCATGGCCTCGTTATACAAAAAGGCGTTAATAGATGGTACCCGTGAAACTGCGGCACAGAATCCCATTGGGCTAGCACTATAAAATCTCACCTCGTGCAGTTTCAGATAAGCACGGGTTCCAAGTAGGCTAAGGTTTCTCTGTGTGCAGTTATAAGCCTTCCGTGATCCGCCAAACGTGGGTTCGAATCCAATAGTTGACCTGTTTGTAACCCTTGGTTTGTCAGCGCTTATGGCTCTCACATCAATCTTACTGGTAACCAACTGTGACCTCGGTTTTATCTGACATATTGTGAGGTGACTGAAATAATGTACAAAACGAAATAAAATCAATGTCACTTATTTACTTCCACCCAGTTTAAGTATGTATCTGGGCTCCAGTATTTGTCCCGTGTTTGTCCTTTCCTATCAGCTCAATATCGACGGATGACCGAGTTAAGTAGCTTGACTCCAGCCTTTCTATGGCCTTTGTCCCGATTGTCACTGCAAAACATGTTTCATGTGGTGTCCACGTTGGAAAGAGTCTTTGTTTGAAATAGTGCCTCGTACGACAGCTTGTGTGCCCATTGATCCAAGCACCAGGGGAAAAATAATGTATCGTCATGAGCATTGAATTAGTGAATGAATTAAAAATGAACTTATTATTATGTTATGACTTTAGTTGCCTGTATTCTGTATACCTCGTCACCTACAGGTCTACTGAAGACAATTTGCAGTGTATAACACTAAACTATGAAATATACACCTTTTTACAAGAAACGAATAGAGCACTATCAACATCATTCAAATAGTTTGCGCCACAACATTTTGAACAGCCTTTAACCATATATAAAATACGTCAACGCAAGAGAAAAACCAGTCTCGATTATCCGCCGAAACAGATTCCATTGGTCACAAATCCGGGGATTCCCCACCACGCCGGCTCAGGCCCAAATAAGACACTTTAGTCACTGGTAATGCATGGTTCAGATTGCCGTAATAAAGCTGCAATATTGCTGAGTAAGACGTTTTACAACATGCACCCACATGTCAATACAAGAATGTATCAAAAAGCGATTCTTCTCAATATCTTTTCTCCACTGATATCAGCATGCTCTGCCAGTTAACTATACCTGCAAGATATCATTAATTCGACGTTAATGTAGAGTGGCAAATGTGGACACTTAACCAGAATCGATTTCTCGTTGTTTCTGCTTCACTTGTGCAAACATCGTGCTTCTTCTAATACAGTACGAGTGTGGTATGGCGCCTATTAACATTCTGACAGCAGCAAACATTGAGACAATTAGACAAACAAGTCGTTAGACAGACGGACAGATCGTGACAGCTGGCTTCCCACGATATCTCACTTTATTGTACGTCGGAATCTTGATATAACTCCAATTTAATGTTTGACACTGTTAGTAATAATTTCACAGAGGATTGTAACATTCAAATTATTGACAAAACTTAATGCTTCTTTGAGGCGAAACAATACTCTTTACATATTAACACTTTAACTCGTACTTCAACAACAACAACAACAACAACAATAATTATAATAATAAATGTATTTGCAAACAAATTAAGCAAATTAACTATATCTAAAAGTGAAAAATCCCTTCCATAATCCTAAGAAATCTCTACTAAAAGCAGAGTCCATTGTACGATTCCTACCATATTATGAGCATGTGTTCATGAGTCACTATTAAATAGTGATTATACCAGGTGTTCGCGAAAAGTTGAGCATATCTGTGAGCAACTGTCACAAACACATGATATGCTCAGGAACACGTGGTCACTGATGCGTCATAAGAGGAAATAAGAGCAAGAAAACAGAGAACGAGGAAAACTCGGCAACAAAGAACAAGGAAGCGTGGCAATATAGAAGGCAGAAACAAGGAAAAAGGAAAACAAGGAAACACAGAAGAAGCAAATAAGGAACAGGGAAACAAGGAAAAAAAGAATGAGCAAACATTGAAAACAAGGAAAGAATGACAAGAACAACAAGGAATCGCTAAAACAATTAAGAAAGAAACAAGAGAAAAGGAAACAAGGAAGCAAGGAACAAAGAAACAATCGTACTTTCTTAAGCATTCCAATTTCCATAATATAATAATGTTCAGAATTAATATTCAGGACAATGGACCAGTGCACAATTCGAATTCGGCCATTGTCATGGCTACAATCCACGAGTGTGACTTTGAACTGTTCAGCACCCACCTTCTTTTCCTTAGATTGGCTGCATCAGACTTCCATTTGATCCCAAACATGAAGAAAACTCTAATCGGAACTCATTTCGTCTCGAACGATGACGTCACAGCAGCTGTGTTGAACTTTTGTTGAGGCAGTAAGCATACAAGTTGGAAAACAGATATCAGATGGCTTTGGAGACGTTCACAAGACAATTAGAAATATAATAAAATTAAATCACTAGACTAAAAAAAGTGATATTTTTGAAGTAACGTTAGGAAATGAACGGACAGCTACTGACAATATAGCGTCTGGGTCCCCAAAATAAGCAAATTATTCCCAAGGTTATTATCCCGAGAGTGGAAGAAGACTCACTCCACCTGTTTGTGCTTCAGCTAGCATCGTTATCACTTGTGTACAAATGTTAACACAACATTCACAAGTGCTTCAAACAAACATTAAGTCATCAATACATGTTCGTTCCGCCTTTTCCGGTTGGTCAATGACTTACTTAATTTGTCATGTCCCGACCTTGTGGCCAAGGTTTGTGCGTTCATTTAACTATGGTAGCCATTGAAAATGCCTAGCTTAAATTTGTTATGGCTCTTAAAAGTTGTTTGACAAAGGTATGTTTTCCCTTTTTATGCAAAGATAATTATATATAGAATTTATTGCATGAAATATTGACACCCTCTCAAGAAACTTTCCTGAAAAACTATTTTCCTACATACACGTTCTATTTATTAAATTTGTCTGATATATCTACGCTTGTATAAACAGTTATTCAATGAAACTAATATGATTACTATAATCCACAGGTAAAATGACATCTCTATCTTTTAGGTTTCAGTGCAATTTCTCCCGTTAACGCACCGAGGTCTTGGAAAGTATCTTAAATTCAACACGTTCATGGATACACAACCAGTTCAGAGATCTGAAGACGATTGATACATGTATGTACTCTCTGCTGCCTGATTTGACAATGACTCTTGCACCTAAAATTTGTACCTTTTGGAGATTTTTGATGATTTCAGGAGATGCTCCTGCCAACAAGCTGCAGCAGTATATTGTGTCTTTAAATTCTTCTATTATATTAATACACATATATATATATATATATATATATATATATATATATATATATATATATATATATATATATATATATATATATATTCATTTCGCGTTTCATTGCTATAAACGGAAGTTACCGGTGAGATCAAACAATGAAATTGCATCACAGTGACATGCAGACCACTCTGACGTCATGACGTCACAATCAAATGATATGACTCATCTCTCTGACACCGAATCTGGTTAGCTGTACCTTTGACACTCAAGACACTGGTCATAATTGTTTATAAAATGAAAATGTAAGAATTATTTTGAATGATACATAGAATCTCACCCTAGTGTATTTTGATATCAAGCATTATCAACACTCGTCCCTTTTAGAATGAATTTGTACAGAGCTGATGTATGGCTTTGGCGATTCAGAATATTACCTTGATTATCTGCCGAAACAGATTCCATTGGGCTTAAAATATTAAATAGTTGTATGGCTTTTGCGATTCAGCTTATCAGAAATTTCTGTGAAAACGATAAGAACGAATTCAAACTATTCTGATAAATAAAAGGTTTATGAGATATGCCCTGACAAAATTAACCACACCTTATCATTGAAAGTATATAACGTCAGTCTTGAAAATAATCAGTATTGTTTTCTGCCGAAACTGATTCCGTTGGGCTTAAAATATTGAATAGTTATATGGCTTTGGCGATTCAGCTTATCAGAAATTTCTGTGAAAACGATAAGAACGTGTTCAGACTATTCTGATAAATAAATAAAAGGTTTATGAGATATGCCCTGAAAAAATTAACCACACCTTATCATTGGAAGTATATATCGTCAACGCCAGAAAAAAATTTCAATCTTGATGACAGATTCATTTGGGCCTAAAAGGTAAAATAGTTGTAGAAATGATATGAACTGAGAATCAGTGATGACACCAGGTGTTCGCGAAAAGGGTTTGCATGTCCTACCGGCAGCACCCGCCTCTCACACATTTCGCATAACAAAGTAAGTTGCCTTACGACACAAAGCCGTACACCTGCCACACGACATCATCTTTTGAAGAGATGCAACTCTAAATGAGATGTTGGGGTACGGCAACCCAGTCAGCTGCAACATCTTATAATTCGTGGTTTGTCAGCACCATATCCGTTCTCGTGGCTTTCGTCAAGTGATAAACGTGGTATGGTTAAGCTGTTACGACGTGATGTCAATGAATTACTGTTCAAAGATGCATTAACCCGACCTACTCACTCACTTAACTTATAAAAAGATCAGCTATTACGACGTCGAATGGATTTCGGCTTAAAGTCGGTATCAGTAAATGAAATGTCTTTGTTCTGATGGACACACAGGATTCTCGGTTTGTGTTGGGAAACTCTGAAAGAACGTCGTCCTGAGTATATATGCCCACAATATACTTGACCATCAGTTGCCAGAGACAAGTTGATATTGAAATAAAAATTAAAAGTAGTGTCTGAATATAAAGAAATTAGTTTGGGGCAGCTATTTCATCCAAATATCTATCAAGACATAATTTAGTTTTTAAATAGAATATTTTGGTCAATCATAAACAGGCGTTGACGGTTTATATTTACTCGTGAAACTGACATGAACAGATAAAGACT